ACTCCAGATTTACTAAGGGATTTGATAATGAAGGGCAAGTGTTTGTCCATATATGTTCTGTTGTAGCACCATGTGTAACATGGGCATTTTTAGCACTTGGTTCAGGTTATGAAGAGAGCATTTGGCATATTCTTATAAATAATAATATTGTATTTATATTATACATATCAGTATTAATATTGATGTAATTGTAATTGTCATTATGCAATTTTATGATATCAGTATTTTACAGAGGATTGGCCTAATCAGTTTTATAAACTCTCTGTTTTAGTCTAAAAGCACACTAGCAATCAAAGCTAGATCTCCCACACTTTTTTCTTCAGATTATTACCATACATAGAGCAAGTTTTGTTTATTACAAAGCACTGTTCATCCCACAAATGGTTAGCAAGAAGAGCTACTAATCAACCTGGAATTGTTAGTACTCCTTCTTAAGCTTATGCAAAGTTCTGAGGAACAAGGAATTGGTGATTGGTCTTTAATTTTTCAAGAGTGTCAAAATGTCTTTTCTCACGAAAGCAAAGAATGGACAATCCTAACCAAAAGCAAAAGGGGAATTCAGATCTTTGCACTGACTGTTTTTTCCAAGGCCCACAAGCTAAATCAGATACTGACTGTAGTGCCGTTATTTTTAGATCACATCACGATGAAGTCACAAGTGTTGCCTGTCTTTAGCTTTAGCTACACTTTGATTAAAATACAATTATTTTAAAGTGTGTTCAGGGATATTTGTATGCCAAAGAAGCTCGAGCTTATTTGATATTGTGTAGCATCCCATTTGTCTTTTACCCCTTCAACTTCAAGCCAGAAATCTCCCTTAAAATGGTTAAACATTCAAAGAGCACATATTGCTAAAGAACCAGTTCTCCCTTTTCCCAAATCAAAAAGCATTTAACGTCATGATGACCAGTGTGATAATTTTGTGATTAATGTAAGTTAAACTATCAGTTATGAAGGCTTATAATAGTTTTTTTTAATTAGTTTTTGGTGCAAAGTGCCATTTGAAACTACAACAACAAAGAATGTAGTCCAATAATACATGGAATTTGTGGCCTGCTCAAAGTTTGCCATGTGTATGTAATACTTTTTTTTTCCTTTAAAAAAGATTGAAATTTTAAATGGCTTATTTGTGCATAATGTGACATTGTGATATTTGCATGAACAATTTCTTTGCCTCTGGGTAGGCCTAGAGCTTCTGAGGGTCAGTATAAATTCAGTGTTATCCTAAACAATGTTTTGATTGTCATCTCGAAGTTTAAAAGGGAGATTTCAATAATAACATGAATATTTATATTTTTTGTCACTCACTTCAATATGAAAATGATAGCAACATTTTTGTATCGATTTCAGTAATATATTTCCTATAGATGTTAAGATTGTGCCTTATCAATTACCTGATTCAAAAAATAAAGGCTTGGAAAAATGCCATAAAATCAAAGTTACTTCACTCATATTTTTATGTGTCCTAGATGTGATTTAATGAGGAACAACCCCAGCCCACGTTTTGCATTAGCCAATTACGTAACTTCTGTTCCTATGTGACATGTAAATCTACATCCTCCACAGGAAATAAAGCCAATCAAAAGTGAGCCTTGTATTATTGACATATGCATTATCCTATCAGAGAGCGGCCTCTAGAGAGTGGGCGGGACAAACACTGAAACGCTCACTGAGAACAAAGGAATGAACATCAAGCTTGTAAGCTGCTGATACACTGACCTCGACTCGGTGGCGCAGTGGAGGCGGTTTATAACCAAATATACGAATACAGTAATTTACAGATAGCAGGAGACCGAGTCAATCTGAAAGATGACTAATCGGCTTCAAAACTACTAACAGTTACTCATACTGCCGTTTTCTGTTTTGGTCCTGCTGAATGGCCTGTTATCTGAAAAAGCCCCCTCAAGAACACAAATAGTTCAGTATAAAATAACATGTTGTTTTATTTTAATTATCATTGCTGTTGTTTTTACTATTATTACTTGAATTACAAGACCCATCATGGTCATGTGATTTTAAAAATGCCAGCATTGATGAGAGTGAGTTTAACTTCATGTAGAATTACTTTTTTTCTTCACTTTTTTTTTTCTTCAGCTAGGATCATTCATACTATCATAATTAGACTGAGATAAAAATATGTGTCCCATGAGCCCTTTTAAGTCATTATAGTTTTACTTATAGCAGCTGTAGAACAATTATTAATATCAGGAGCAACTGGTTATTAACTTCATCAGATGATCCTTTCAATTTTCTTGGGTCAGTTCATGATATTTTCCTCAGATGTGTTCTTCTGACAAATCATAGATTATCATTCCAAGCGAGTAAATGGGACTAATAGAGTAAAACGGTCCAGCACAATCTCACACAACCAGTCTAACTGTATTACAAATAATGATGTTTTTACATTCCTTTCCACCCATCCCAGCCCAGTATAACAAAACTTTACTTGTCGCTAACTGACAGGCATGAGTGACACCCAAGGTTTGGCTAATGGTGTGTAATTATGTACAGTGTTTACTTTGCATAACCTATAAGAATAATATGTGTGTGTGTATGTGTGTGTGTGTGGGTGAGAGAGAGAGAGAACACCATGTTCTTTTCCTTTGGTAGATTTGGTTTATGCAGTTTAGTATCTAAAATAGCTATAAACACTGGAGATGCACAGTCAATCAAATTAAAACCAAAAGCATATTATGGCCTTTTGCAAAGAAAAGGTCTTCAAAATTATTTTTAAATGGCTTTGTGTGGAAGCTTGTTTCCACTACTGAATAAAAAAAATCAAAACGACAACTTTTTATCTGACAATTCTGAGTTTATATCTTGCAATTCTTAAAAAAAAAAAATTGTGAAATAACATTAGAATTGTGAGATATAGGGCCCTATCATACACCCGGCGCAATGCGGCGCCAGGCACGACGCAAGTGTTTTTTGCTAGTTTCAGCCCGACGCAGTTGTCATTTTCACGTCCTGTGCCACATTGTTTAAATGTGTGCACTCATGGGCGTGCTGGTCTGAAAACGAGGTGTGTTCAGGCGCATTGCTGGCGCGTTGCTATTTTGAGGCAACTGAAATAGACTGCGTCATTGACCAACAAAAACCTGGTCTAAAGTCAATGGCGCAGTAGTTTTTTTGTTATTTAAAGAGCGCGTTAGTATAGGCGGGTCCACAGCGCGTGTACACTCTGCTTATTACACACACAGGGACGCGCAGAAGCACACAAACATGCCAAATATTAAAAATTAAAGCATTGCAATGTAAAAGATTATTATTGTTTAGGCTACATAAACATAAAAATGCCTACATGTCATAATGGATAGTCATTGCATGTATCAGAATTAGGCTACCATTTGCTCGCGCACGAGCAGCTCCATTTCCTCTCTGGAGATGCGTTCTGTCTTTGCGCTTGCAAATTCCGCCGTGTAAACAGCAAATCCGCCATGGCAGGAGCGCAACTGGCTCTTAAAGGGAATGGGAGATGAGACTCTCATTGGTTTATTGCACGTTATGCCCAAAACACACCCATTACTCATTAAGAGAATAGGGATAACCCTTTTAGACCATGCACCGGGCGTGCTGACCGTTTTTCCCGTCGTTAAACTAGCAAAAGTGGATTTGGACACGCCCTAAGTGCACCTGCGCCATGCGCTTTAGACCATGTGCTTAGATCGTTAAAATAGGGCCCATAAACTCAATTGCGAGAATATAAAGAATCAGAGTGGTTAGGAAAAGAATTACCTTTTTATTTTTTATTCCAATATTATTTTTTAAAGCTTACAGCTTTGCAGTGTATAAGAGTGAGTAAATTATGATAGAACTATGTAACAACTGTATGAAAAATCCAATGTTCAATATAATAATGCATAAACGTATTATGATAAGATATTATGATATATATTCTTTTTTTTTAAGAAAAAAATGTTTCAGTGTTTGCTCTTCAGTGGAAATGAGGCTGCTCTTTATTCAAATACAGAGCCTATTATTTGCCTTTTAGTTTGACTTCCTATTATGGTTCAGAACAGAGAGAGAAAGCGATGTGTAAGACCTGTCTATTTGCCTTGGGTTTGCCCCAGTTCACATGGCTGTCATTTAAAGCAGGTGTGTTCTGTGCCTGAGACTCACGTAATTGTGAGGTATGTTAATGGTTATGACATGACTTTAAACCTACGTGGATACACTCAAAGAAAGTAAAAGTGGAATGCAAAGCATCTTATGACGTAATGGGATAATGTAAATACTTAATAGGATTAATGCAAACACTTAATGTGTGATTATTTCAAGCAGGTGTTTTTTGATGCAGGTCTTTGCTTAAGTGTCGCTGAATGACTTCATTTATTATGTCTCCCACAGGTCTGATCAGACTATCAGTAATCTGTTAGCACTTGTGTCGTGTGTTCTGAAGGTTTTGTTCTTTTTTTTTCCTGCTGCTTCTGTCTGTCTGTGTGATCCAAACTAAATTTCTCAAATACGCATACAAAGAATTAAACATAATGTATATTTGCTGTTTTATTTTCATGACGATCCATATCTACCATGCCAGTAAGTATGTGGATTTTGAATTGTGCTGGAGAGGCTTAAAGTTCAGCCAAAAATGTAAATTTGCTGAAAATGTCCTCCCCTTCAGGCCATCCAATATGTAGATGAGTTTGTTTTTCCTTTGGAACAGATTTGAAGAAATTTAGCATTACATCACTTGCTCACCAATGGATCCTCTGCAGTGAATGGGTTTCGTCAGAATGAGAGTCCAAACAGCTGATAAAAACATCTCAATAATCCACAAGTAATCAATTAATGTCTTGTTTGACTTTAAACGGTCACTTCTGGTCAAAATTTGAGTCAATAATCCATGATATTTCTTCCTCCTAGGGTTGTCAAAAAGTACCGACTTCGGTACCGAAATCTTAAAAATGAGATGATACGATACCAGCATTTCCTGCTAGAATTTCCCGGATTCTTAAACACCATTGATTGGCCGCTGTGTTCACGTGCTCAACAGATAGGCTATGTCTGTGATTGGCTACAATGATCATCGCTTCACTCTGTTTACCGAGCGCAGCTCACACAGAAGCACACGGGAGCGTTTGAGAGCCGCGTCTATCAGCGGATCAGTCTATGAGCAGATGTATTAGGCATCCGCTGACAGATCCGCTAAAAGTCCATCCCCTGTTGTCCTCTCACGTCAAAATCCACCGACATATTCGTTTGTAACAGCACTTGATTTGCGCTGATTTCTCTCCTGATTCAGGCAAGAAGACTTTTCACTGGAGAAAAGGCTTATTTTTAACGGTTTGAAGTAAAAAAAACAAAATTATTACAAACAAGTAAAAAATAGTGATGATTATTGTGATGTTTTTATCAGCTGTTTGGACTCTCATTTTGACGGCACCCATTCACTGCAGAGGATCCATTGGTGAGCAAATGTGAGATGATGTAAAGCTAATTGTCTCCAAATCTCTTTCTATATGAAGAAACAAACTTATCTGCATTTTGGATGGTCTGGGAGTGAGTACATTTTAAGTAAATTAGCATTTTTGTGTGAACTTCCCTTTAAAAAAAGTGCCCTAGTATAAGATGATACTGACAGTCTGAGATGTTGGTACTGGCTTCATTATAATATTGTGCACTGTAAGCAGTTTGTAATATTTTGCACATAAAAGACAAGGTATCTCCCTGTTTTGTCATTCTTCCTCCCTCTCATGGGATTGAATGTTGCCTCCTCTTTTTCTTGGAGCTTGCTGGTGTCGTGTTACTGTCCTACTTCAGGGTAATGTTGATATGGCAGCTTTGACACTGAGGTGCGGGCCAGCTAATCACTGTCTCTAGTAAAAGAGTTTAATACAGGACAAAAATAATTATTAATTGTGGTATTAATAGAAATACTATATTAATTATACTAATTTTTAAACGGTTCTCATCTGAAATTAATATGGCATTTTTATCCTTTTCCTAAGGATGTCACGTTTTTGCACCTCCAGTTTTCGACTCTCCGATATCAGCTCCTGAACCCATATTTTTTTGTGTTATAGTCCAGGTCCGTGTGGACTAAGGTGTGGTTAATTTCTTTACCTCTGTGGATCAGTTTCCTAATTATTTTGCTATGCCTTTATCTAGGCCGACTTTTCCCATGTCATATGACCTCTAAATCCCTTTATTAAATCATTTGTTATCCCATAAATAAAAGAGCAGATGAAACTTGCTGCACCAGTTTGTTTTGCAGCCTCACAGTGGCTGGGTCCGTGGTTTAGTGTTTCTCTGTAAACATGGTTCTGTGTACCTGATACAAATAAAAGATATCGGTGAGAACTCATGGTTCCTGTTAACCCCTATGTGCTCAATTCACACCCAGGTTAGGCAAGTTTCATTCAAATTTAAATGAATTAAATAAAAATAATTTACATTTAAACCAGCATTAAGTCTAAACTGATTACATTTTTATTAATTTTATTATACATTTTATTCGTTTTCTTTTATTATTTAGAGGAATCTCTCCTCTGAGCTTTTGAGTTAGATTTTTTTCTCTCACAATTCCAAGTATATTTCTCACAATTCTGACTCCCGCGCAATGTGAAAGCACGCACGTGCTGGAGATTTACCGCTGATTACAGAACCGGCTTTCTGACAAGATGCGCATTAAATATTGCATGCGATTTATCGTGCAGCCCTAATTATATTTATACCTAACCTGTGTTGTTGGAATATGTTTTTCTAACTATTTAAATTCTCTAGTTAAATGTTTATATTTTAATAACAAAGTGGAGTACAAACATGCATGTTATGTACAATTTAAATGTTTGTATACAACAGTTTGATTACGTTGATTATTATACCTAAATATAAATAGCAATTACATTTGTTGTTAATTTTAATATTTAATAGTAATGTATGGTTTCATGTAGCTTACAGCTTTTAGTTGAGATTTTCTTTCCTTAAGAAAAATTGACGTACTATATCCAAATGAATCAATATCGGAAATGAATTGAATCAAGCTTATGAATCAATCAAATTAAATGGTGAAATCTGTGTCAATACTTAAGCGAATGTATACATTTGTATTGAAACTGAATTCTGACCCCTAGTAACCTTGCTGATAGTCGTGCAAGGTATGACAAGTAAATAAAAGTAGATGAAGGCTCATCCGTGTGGATGAAATGATCACTCAAACCAAACATATTTCATCTTCATAATCTGAACCTACACTGTAAAAAATGTTCACCCCTTTCAACTTAAAAACGTAAGTTTTGTGGCTGCCTTAAAATGTTAAGTTAAATCAACTTAAAAGTACAAGTCGTTTCAACTCACTAATTTAATTGCCTAGTGCTGAATTGTTTTATTGAAGTTCATTTGACTTTACAACATTTGCTGTTTCAACTTAAGTTCAAAATTTTTAACATGAATTTTCTAGTTATGATAATGTAAACTTTATTTTAGATCCAGATAAAAAACTACAGTGCGTCTAACTGAGTGTAAAGTTTAACATGTCGGTTGTTCGGCTGACAAAAAACGTCTTTCTAAAAAAGTAGTCGCAAATGAACAAGGTTAACAATAGTTTGAATCGTGGTCTCTTAAATCATATTAAATTAACGGTAAAATACACCTATAACCGCTCAAATTGCAGGTGGAGAAACACATTTGTGTCAAATCCCAAACGTTACATTACAATCTACAGGCTAATGCAGCACAGAACAGCGGCCACCGTATCAGAAATGCAAAACTTGAAAGGTAAACACAGTTCGAAAAACAATGACAGAGCATAACTAATTCCGCTCTATTCTGCTCAAATGAACGATAATCTCCCAAAAACGATGTTACACAAAAGCATTCACTCACCTCATCCACGTTGAATATGCTTCTTCGCGCGCAGCCCAACGGACAGCTTCCTCAAGTTCATGAGTTGTTCGTCTGAAATTCCTCCGCGGTTTAGTTAGTTCGCTGTATAGTCTGCCCGTGTCTCCTTGTTTGATGTTGCACTGCGATGTCTCATGTTTCAAACACGAGTCTAATGTCTAGATTTGCAGAATATATTTTTTTTCTTGGAAAGGACTCTGATATTAAATTCATGTACAAATTTGACTCCTGCGCATGAATCCATGTTCAGAGATTTGACCGGTTAGTGCCAAAAAGCTACAACATAAAATGTTAAGTTCACTGAACTAAATTGGGCTCTTTGAATTTCAGTAACATTAAACTGACTTAAAAAATAAAGTTGAATCTAGTATAACTTATAAAAAAAAGTTGAAATTGCTTAAATTATTTTTATGAGTTAAAGTAACTTAAACACATAAGCTGTCATGGCTTTTTCATCATATCATTTTTTACAGTGTAGATGAAATGATTTGGTAGATCTACTTCCTGTATTTTTGTGTAAATGTGACCAGTGTTTATCTCTGAGAAATAGCAGGCTGTTCCTGATGGTTCCCTTCTCAGACAGTTAATGATTGCAGCTGAAGTCGGATTAAGAGCAGCACTTGTTTGTTTAAGTTTGTTTTTCGCTGTGTGAACAAGTGATAAAGCCTCAAGCGTTTGGCATGTGTGGTGGTGTTAGCGTAGCTCAGAGGAATGCGTAGGATGAAGTCCATTCGTCAAGTTTTTTTAATGTCGCCTCTGATAACTGAGGACTTTCAGGCATGACCATTTGAATCGATGCCTGAGAGCTGTGAGAGAATGATGTATTAAAGATATTACTGCATGTGAATGTGACTATAAAATAGCTTTTACTGCAGGGTGACCTATTAAAAGATATAGGTCAAATTGTAGATATCCGTTTTAGATCAGATGTTCTGAGTTTGTCAGGCGTCTGTTGTTCACATTCCCTTTGGTCCGAACAAACTTCAGAGCAGAAGATAATGTAAAGAGACCTGAGATATGATATCTTGAAAGAACTTTCCTTATCTATTCCCTTGAGCTTCGATTGCTGATAGGCACGATTTCCCGTTAGTCTTTCTCCACCCTGAAACTGCAGATTTGAGTTTCCTGCTGTGGTTTGAGTGTAAGGTCCACTAACAGACTGATAGTCTGTGTTTCCTGGCCTAGGGCTTATCTAGTCTCTCACATTTTGATGTGATTCCAAGCATCCTATTAAATGAGTTTTTTTTTTTTTTTAACTACAGTCAGTGCTGTTCTTTAAGAAAACTGCACTGTAAGATTGAAAATTGTACCCACATTCTGGGTTCCAGAATTATTAATTTATAACATTCATTTTTGAGTGAACTATATTTGGAAATGCAACAAAATAAACGCTGTTCCGTAAGAGAAGTCACACTGAATGTTATTTTCTGCAAACCATGATTGACTGTCATAAAAGACATTCACTGATTCATTAGGTTAAATAATACAGGTGCATCTCAATAAATTAGAATGTCGTGGAAAAGTTCATTTATTTCAGTAATTCAACTCAAATTGTGAAACTCGTGTATTAAATAAATTCAATGCACACAAACTGAAGTAGTTTAAGTCTTTGGTTCTTTTAATTGTGATGATTTTGGCTCACATTTAACAAAAACCCACCAATTCACTATCTCAACAAATTAGAATATGGTGACATGCCAATCAGCTAATCAACTCAAAACACCTACAAAGGTTTCCTGAGCCTTTTTTTTTGTTTAGTTTTTTTGGCCAAATTAGATGGTGCATTGATAAGAAAAAAAGAAAAATTAATAATAAAAACCTTTGAAACAGGTTTTTTGATTTTACTCAGAAATTGTTACATACATACAAATTATATTATATTATATTTACATTTTTTGCCTTCACATTTCTTTTTCTTTACAAAGATAGCATTGACATAAATTCTTTACAAAAAGAAAACATTGCAACAGGCTGGAAATTATGCGGCTTTAATATAACTCCATGAATTTATAAACACACTTTGGCTGGAAAATTATTGCATATAATGCGCAACCAAAGGGGAAAAATGCTTTCATGAGTTTTTCATTAAAATTGTAGCAGTCTGTCCAAAAGTTTCATCTGTGGGGGTCCAAACAGAAATGCTTGGAATTCTGCTGCAGCCGCTTCCTCTGATTTCACGTTTAATCGGATTGGTCTGTGGGAGCCGCTATTTGGTGTCAGTGTGACTGTAGACTACCCATGATCCCTGTGTTCAGGAGTCTATTATGACAACAGTGTGGGTGGATAATGGCATGTTCATGATTACACACTGAACTCCAGAACTCTCCCACCTACCGCTCTGCTGAACAAGAGGGGACAAGCAAAAGCTAAACAAAGATGTTTTCCTTTATTTCATCAGTAGGCAGGCTTCTCTGTTTTGTATCATTTACTGGTACAGGGTTCAATTCCCAAGTGAAATTCCAGCCTTTCTATTCATACAGTAATTTAGTTTTGAATGCTAGGCTGCACGACTAAAGGGTTAGTTCACCCAAAAATGAAAATTCTGTCTTTAATTACTCACTCTCGTGTTGTTTGAAACCCGTAAGACCTTCGTTCATCTTCGGAACACAATTTATGATATTTTAGATGAAATCTGAGGGCTCTCTGACCCTCCCATAGACAGCAAGGTAACTACCACGTTCAAGGTCCAGAAAAGTACCAAGATGATGGACAAAGTAGTCCGTGTGACATTAGTGGTTCAACTGTAAAGTTACGTAGCTATGAGAATCGTGTATTACACGACTCTCTAGGACAGTGGTTCTCAACCTTTTTTTCCACCGGGCCGCACTATGGTCCAAGTGCAAGTCTCGCGGGCCGCACGCATATCATTTACATATTACGTCAGCAATACAAACCAACCTGATTTATAATATTATAGAAGCGCGCTTCAGCTTCCACTCTCTGTGCAAACTATTGGATACAGCGCACATTTATCTAGGTTTAACATTTAAACATTGTTATATGCTTGAACTGTTTTATATCTATAGATTTTATTTTAGTCAAGTCGTGATGATTTGAGAAGGCTAAATTGATCAAGCATATGCTCACTGTCTGCCGCTGGCCACTTGGTCGTTACTTTAAATGCGTAACGTTAATTAGGCTGTGTGAGTACTGCTCATGTCTGAAAATAATGTATGAAAAACAAAATTATTTTACATTAAAACATTAGGCTATAGCTTATATTTATTTAGTACATTTTTAAATTAATGTAAAAACTAAAATGAATTGTAAAACTGAAAGTAATTTTTTTTAATTGTGTTCAGCACGGTGGGCCGCATGCGGCCCGTGTGCCGCGGGTTGAGAACCACTGCTCTAGGAACATTTATCTCTAAATGGTCAATTGCAGCATTGTTTTTTATGTTCTCAGATAATACACAATAATTAAAAAATAAAATAAAACTATTTCACATCTGTCTATTTACTTGTTTGGTAAGTAGCCATACAATAATCTACAACCAGCCAAGGATTACAGCTTATTCTACATTTCTTTTTTATTCTTCACAAAAATAATTTTTGTCTTTTAAAAAATATATGCACTTTTTTTTTTTTTAAATAAAAGACAAAAGAAAGTTTTCAACAAGGCATATGTGAAATGTTCCCAAAAAGACATTTAAATCACAAATTACATTTGTGACATTGATGCAGTTTAGTATTTTAGTATTATTTTTATACTGTACTGTTATATTGTTATTTTTTTATAATGTATTTATTAATATTTTAAATCAGCCGTTTTATATTTTCAGTATTTATTTTCATTTTAGTGTATGTTATAGTAAGTGTGTTATGTGTTTCGTCTTTATTAGTTTTTTATATTCCTATTTAGCTTTATTTAGTTGGTTGCCAAAGCAACATTGTTTTATTTTTTATTTAATTTAAGATAAAGTTTTTAAAGTTTAAAATATTCATCTAATATTTATATTTCATTTTATTTCAGCTTTATTTCAATAAAACAAAAAAACAGTTTAGCATAAATTAATATTAAAATCATTTTCATGTGTGTTGAAAGTAAGGCTTTGAATAGGCTAAATTTAATTAAATAAGCATTAAATAAGTGATAATCCTAAAATAAATGATAATCCTTAACAAAAACAGAGTACAGCTGTCATGCAATCTAATGAGAAGGTTTGATTCTCTTTGCAGCTGGTATAAGCTGGTGGATAAGAACGGGAAACAGGAGAAGGACCGAGGGGAAGTTCTTTTGGACATTCAGTTCATGCGGAATAACCTGACAGCCAGCATGTTTGACCTCTCCATGGCAGACAAACCTCGCTCTGGCATTGGCAAACTCAAGGATAAAATTCGTGGTAAGAAGAAGGAAGGCCTGTCAGATTCTGCCTCTGCGATCGTGCCTTCTTCAGTGGGAACAGACAGTGAAGGGGAAGGAGAGGGCGGTTCAGACAATCCTAAGAAGAAATCGAAACTCAAATCCTTGTTTGGACCAAAGACAAACCTCCAAAGGAATGTGTCCCAGTCGATGTCAACACTGGGCACCCTGCCTGAGAAGAACAGTTCACTCAGCAGCAGCAGATCATCCGGCCTTAATGTGGACTCTCCTGATGGTAAGGTCATAGGTCATTAAAGTGAAAGTGACAGTGAAAGTGACGTGACATGTGGCCAAGTATGGTCACCATTAGGCCACGACTTCCCACGACACGTCATCTTGTTGTAGTACAAATATACACTACAAAATTTTGAATAATTACGATTTAAAAAAATATTTTTGAAAGAGGTCTCGTTTTTTCACCAAGGCTACATTTATTTAATAAAAAAATACAATAAAAACAGTAATATTCTGAAATATTATTACAATTTAAAACTAATGTTTTCTAGTTTATTATACTTTCAAATGTTATTTATTCCGTTGATGCAAAGCTGAATTTTCAGCATCGTTACTCCAGTATTCAGCGTCACATGATCCTTCAGAAATCATTCTAATATGCTGAATGGCTGCTTCATATTTTGTTGGAAACCATGATAAGATTGAAAGAAAGAAAGAAAGAAAGATTGAATACACACACACACACACACACACACACACACACACATATATATATATATAATTTATTAGGGGTGGGCGATATAGCCTCAAAATTATATCACGATATTTCAAGAATATTTGCGATAACGATATTTATGACGATATATATTTAAAAAAAAAACACGGAGCAATGTTTTATTGGTGATTGCAGCTGGCAGGCAGCAGCATTTATGAGTGCAAACAAAATGAAGGGCATTTTCCATGATTTTCCAATGATTTACTGTCATCCATGACAGACTCTCTAATTTGAAGTGTAAATCTATTGTCATAAGGTGGCAGCAGCAGCTGTGTGTTCGACTTGAAGCAGACCGATAGCTGGGGTTTGCGGGGCTCCGGTGCAGGTTGTACCAGTGGGCCCTGTTTGAAATTGTGTAAATAGCACAAATATACAAATTAAACAATGTTTAAGTTTTTTCAAGTTTGTAGGTGTCCAGGTACAGAAACTGAATAATCAAATGTAAATAGCATTGCAGTGTCTTCACTGTATAAATTAAATATAGATGAATTCTTGTTAAAACTACAAAGTAATTCATTAAAGAGCAGTGAGTGATTTTCTCCTATTTAATTTCTTGGATTAACATTAAGGACGCTGACAGCAGCTGTAAAATAAGGCACGGTCACTTTAAGAGATAATACATCCAATATAATGATACACATTCCATTTCTTTCTCAACTGTTTACTTTCACTTAAGACATAACCGACCATTTTTTTGAGGATACTCGCAAAGACAGGTATTGTGACAATTTTGCATGTATTTGTCGTTTCAAGAGCAAGAAGAGACAACACTCAATTCGGTGTTTGAGGGCTGTGGACGACGTGGCTCTCTGCATGCACACTGTACGCACAAAACAGCGCGCAGGTGCTGAATTAAGCTTTTCATGTCTTTTTGTGCTTGTATGTTTAAACTGACGACGAGGTGTATTTGTTCGTTCAGGCCCGGGAGGAAGCGAAGAAGCGCTCGGTTTGGTGTTTGTGCGGCTCTCCGTGTGCGCACCGAACTCTCAGTTGAGTTTTTCCGCGTCTTGTGTTTGAATGCTTTAAACTGTTTTGAATGTTTAAATTGGCAAGGCTTAAAACACGTGCAATTGATAAGCTTTCGTGACGACGTGCAGGCCGTCTTTTTATGCTGACCTCAGGCAGTCGGTTGAAATCGCCAGGGCCCCCCTCTCTCTGCGCTGCTTCGCTAAAGATATGAGCCTCGCCTTTTTTTTTAAAGGGGTCATATGATGCGATTTCAAGTTTTCCTTTCTCTTTGGAGTGTTACAAGCTGATTGTGCATAGATAAGATCCCTGAAGTTGCAAAGACTAAAGTCTCAAAACCAAAGAGATATTCTTTATCAAAGTTAAGACTCTTCCACACCCCTCTAAAACGGCTCGTTCTAACACGCCCCCACATATCTACCTCACTATGTGGAAATGTTAGCATAATGCTGCCCAAATGTTCACGCAAAAAAAGAAGGCGTGGTTTCAGTAACCGCAGTTAGTGTTGATGCAGCCATGTCAGGGAGACGCTGTGTGTTTCAGTGCGAAAGCAAAAGCACTTTATTTGGCCTTCCAAAAGCAGATGCATTTAGGAATCTTTAAGATTACTTACAACAGAACAGCAATGCATTTTATGGACGACCGTTTCGTGAACCTAGGAGAGAAGGTAATTCTGACTTTGCTATGACAATCTGGTGCTTCTGAATCAGCTACTGTTTTGTTACTAGTTTAAGTATTTGCTATTGACTGTTCAAATGCGGAGTTTTGCGCATGGTGTGTGTGTGTGTGTGAGTGAGAGAGCGCGCGAGAGAGAGAGAGAGCGCGAGAGAGCACGAGAGAGAGAGCGAGAGAGAGCACGAGAGAGAGAGAAAGCGCGAGCGAGAGAGAAAGCGTGAGAGAGAGTGAGAGAGTGAGAGAGTGAGAGAGCGAGAGAGAGTGAGAGAGAGAGAGAGAGCGCGAGAGAGAGAGAGAGAGAGAGAGGGGGGGTCACATCACAGTGGAGTCAGTGTATTGCAACGCATCAAAGCAGTCAATCCAACACAGTCAAGAATATTTTAAAGAGGTTGCCACCGTTTAGTAAACTGTGGATTAGCTTTGGCTCTTCCTGCTGATTTAAATGGTGATGCTTCCCGTTTATCAGTTCATGGCCTTTCATTTTTAACCAGATATGTGCACGCTGCTTTTGTGATGTTCACTGAAGTTTTGCGTGTCTTTTTCCCGTGTCACTTGAAATGTTTCCGTTTTGAATCGTTGTTACCGAGAGGAACCTCATTGTTAATTAGGAAAAAAATAAGCTATCAGTTGTGGGACTATATTCTGTCATAAATCGCATACCATTCATTGCTGAACATTCTACCGTCCGTTAATGGAAATGAAATGAAATTACTGGTTGATATGTCCCGATCTCAATAAAGTTTACACACGCTTTTGGCCCGTGAATTAGATCTCGCTCGGGATGTGCGCTGTCTGTGGAGGTTTGGCCAGGACCGGTTCCGGAATTAAATCAACATATTTTATGTTCCGTCCATTGCCAATCATTGCTATTTCGAGAGTGAATCCCGCATAAATATGTGGATGTCATTCCCGAAACTTTGCAGGGCGTAACCTATGTGTCCGAAAAACGAAAGTTTCATACAAAATATACCCTAGAAAGTGCGCAAAACGCACTCCCTTTATCACTAAAAAGCGTCACTCATCTTCGTTCATCACGATCTTACAAAGTTCCGTTATAATCAATGAAGCTCTCTAAACTGCACAATGAATCTCTTATTTATATCGCGTCTGCACTTAGTCATGAGATGATTCACGAGCGTGCAAAACTGCACTTTAAAACTGCTGCGTTTTCAGCAGTGAGTGAATTCTGACAAAACGTTTCTGATTGGCCATTGCCTTCAAGAAATCAACAGATATGTCTGTGATTGGTTACATTGCTCAAATATATATATATATATAATTTTTAAGTGCATTTTTAATGTTTGTACAGGTTTTTGATTAGTAGTACTAGTTATTGGATTAAGCTCTAAAGGGTCTGCTTTGACAAGTTTTAATACAATTTTTGCTTGATTTTCATGTATAAAAAGTATAAGAAGTAACTAAAGCTGCAGTTAATATTCACCTTGACACATCAAAAAGTCAACAAACAAGAAGTCACTGAAAATCATTTTTGTTGTTGTTTATAAAACAGTTAAACATTTATAAATGTGGCTTAAGTTTCTGACAGTGTTCACATAAATGTTGGACCTCATCTACATTGCAGTTTTAATAAATATTGTCCTCTTCTCTTGCAGTGAAAAAGAAGTTTAAAATACTGGGACACAAGCGCACTGAGAGCTCAGATAGCAAAGTGTCTCTTGGCCCCTTTTCTCTTCTGAGCCGCTCTAAACAAAACATCCAGGAGCAGAATAACCTCTGTATAAACGGCAGCCACGTTTATGCAGAGGAGCAAGAACCTAAAGCTAATTTTGGCTCCACACTCAGTCTGAACAGCTCAGGAAAGGGTTCAGTAGAGGATGTTCGTAAATACCACCAACGAAATACGTCCGACATCTCCATCGACTCACTTAAAGGCCTGAGTATCCCCTCATACAAGCCTGAAGTGCAAGACAAAGCTTCTCTTGTCCCACAGCGCCCTCTAGAGGACAGGAGTCATGTAGAGGTGGAGGAGAAGGGTAAGAAACCCGAAGGAAGAAGCCTGCAAGTGATGCTGGATCGACAGGAAGAGCAAGAGCAAAGGAAGCAGCAAGAACGGGAGAGAAAACAAGACGAAGAGAGGAAAAGCAGGCTTGAAGAGCAGGAGAGGAAGCGCAAGGAAGAGGAAGAGCTGCAGAGGAAGCGGCGCGAGGAGGAGACGCAGCGAGCCGAGGATCAGCGGCACCAGGAGGAGACCAGAGTAACCGAACGGCTCTCTTCTCTCTTTGGCATTGGAAAGAAGAAGGAAGACAAGAGAGAGGAAGCTATGCATGAACCCAAACGTCTAGATGTGCCGTCCTCTACAAACCCGTTTGAAGACATTCCCCTCACCCCAGATACTCCATCCTCTATCCCAGAAGAGAGGCCCACGGACCCACGGAGGGGCGTCAGGACCACCCTCACCCCAACGCCACCCGCCAGTGCTTTCCCCAGCCGCACAGCAAAAGTGTCCGCGGTCAAGCCAAGGTGAGTGCTCATGTGCTTAAATAACTTCCTCCGTCCAAGATTGCATTCCAGTTCTATTTAGGGCTGGAAGATTTATTGCATATTTACTATATTATTAGCACAGATTTTTGCTAGCAATGTTGTGATGATTTTAATCCACATTTGATCGACCAATACATTTCCTGTAGAGCGTGGTAGACTAGTTTAACCAGAGTCCTGCACGGGTTTTGTTTGGTAAACCCACAACCACGCTATCTACCAGAACACCTGAGCTGTTTATCCAAAGCAACATTAAAGGGATAATTCATCCCAAAATGAAAATTTACTCACCCTCAGGCCATTCAAGATGTAGGTGAGTTTGTTCTTCAGTAGAACAGTAAAGAAGATTTTTAGCTGAAACTGTGGTCCTTATAACTGTGGATTTATAAAATGCAAGTCAGTGGCTGCCGTCACTTTCAAAAAAGCATATTAGGCAATTAGGCAAAATTAATACCTATTGCTCCTGACGATATATTGAGTTCTTATTAGGAATGCACCGATACCACTTTTTCCAGTACTCACCCGATACCGATACTTTTATTTTTGGTACTTGCCGATACTGGTCTCATACAGGAGACCAGTATCGGGCCCGATACCGATACCAGTGGTGGGTGGGGGGGGGAACCCAGAACACTAAAATCAAGCAACAAGGCACTCAATTTGATCAGTTATATATTCATAGTGAAGTGTCATTAAAGCATACTGCAACATCTAGACTTGTCCACGTTCAGCTAAGTAACACATTCAAAAATCAAATAACAAAACAAACCAATAAAACATTTAATTAATGGGGATGAACACAGAAACTAGCCTGATCATGAAGCCTCTTATTAAATTGATGTCAACTTATCTATGGTCTCTTAAGGCTGGAATACACTACATGATTTTTGCCCTGATTTCCCACTGATTTACAGTCTGGAGAAGTTGACACTAGATGCCAAAGGTCAGAGTCAGTCTGCAGATTTGAGTTGACTGATTTCATAGAAAATCGCGTAGTGTATGATGGTCACAGACAGATTTTTTAGCTTCAGACTTTGATTCCACCCAGTCAGAGGATATCAAACATGTTTAATATTTTCAGCCGATTTTAGATCACATATTGTTTTTATTTCATTTCACGTGTCTCCTAGCAACAATGCACAAATTTCTGGATGAGTTTGTTGTGATTGGAAGGAATTTAAAGTCTGGGATTGTGTGATCCTCAGTCGTTTAGTGTGTGATGCCCAGGTGTCCTTTGTGACTATTTACAAGTTAAACGACTGAGGATCACATCATACACTGGTGTTTTAAAAATCTGTTCAAATTTTAAAAGTCGTGTAGTTTATTCCAGCCTTTAGTTGCTTTTTTCCACAGGTTTCTGATGGTTCCTTCTTTGTACGGACAACATGCCTCTTTCATCTTTGGGCATAAACTATAGTTACGTCTAGTTATCTTAAAGCTGTTAAAATAAGTTATTAACCATTTTATAAAGATAAACTTAAAGTGACAACCATCAGTTAATATTTCAAATCAGTTTATGAAGTATTAACATAGACGTTCAATGTGGAAGAGCTTAGAGAGCACACTGAGCTTAATTGGAGCAGAAACCATTTTTAATATATTTTATGTAATATTTATTAAAATGACAATATTTTGCCAAATAAATAATCTAGGTCATGTATAAAGTTCATACATATTTTAATATGAACAACTATTATTGACAATATCTATGAAATTATACTTTTTTTTTATTGATGTCACACTGAAGCTGTTATTTTCATAGTAGTGCACCCTTAAAGCTCACCTTAAAATAATATGAAATCTTTAAAAATTACAGCTGTATAAAACCACAGACCCACAATAAACTGTCAATTTATAATATTATGGATTTAAAAGTACAAGCCAGTAATGCATGTGAAGTAATATATTAGCGTAGCACACAATCTTATACATCTAGTCAGCTAACTGTGTTCTGTAGCATCTGTGCTATGTTGCTAATACTATCTTTTGGATCTAACTGTAATTATTTCCCACATCCAAGTTCCAGTTTATAATATGCAAAAGTCTAAACATTAATCTCTTAATTTTATAGTAAGTAGTGAAACTTACCCAAAATAAAGGCTTAAACATCTAAAAAAAATGCACATTTAAAGGGCTCCTCTTTTGGTTAAAGTTTTCAGACAGCTTTCAAAATGGCCACCAGACAGTGTGAACGCATGGAGACACATATCTCAGTGTGCAATGGTCTGATTGACTTGAAATTACAGGAGGTATGTAGTAACAAACACATCAGTTGGTTAAGACATCAAGTATGATAATACATTATTATTATTTTTATTTTTTTTATTCAAATATGGAAGTGTGCTTAATGGGTACGTGAGCTTAATAGGTACGGTTACCCTATATATTACCTTGTATTCAAGAAAATGGGGGAAAAAAACACCTTAATTATTAGAATTCTTGCATTATACACTACTGTTCAAAAGTTTGGGGTCATTTATATTTATTTAAATAAATTAATACTTTTATTCAGCAGGGATACATTAAATTGTTTAAAAGTGACAGTAAAGACATGTATAATGTTACAGAAGATTTCTATTTCAAATTAATACTGTTCTTTTGAACTTTCTATTTATCAAAGAATTCTTGATAGAAAAAAATACAAGCAACTGTTTTCAGTAAGAAATGTTTCTTGAGCAGCTAATCAGCATATTAGAATGATTTCTGAAGGATCATGTGACACTGAAAACTGGAGTAATGATGCTGAAAATTCAACTACTCTAAAAACTATAATACTGACACCAAACTTTTGAATGATAGTGTATATGAATCTACTTGGGTAACATGACTGTTTGGTTCAAACAGAGGAGCATGTATATAATATGTCTATGTGTATATATGTGAAGCACTCTCTTATTTAAGAGAATTTTATCGAGGAATTGTTTTTAAGCAAAACACTTGAATGTTTTGTCTTTTATGCTACTTTTGATGAGACTTTCCTTCAGTTATGTATATATTGGCTATTTCAACCAGCTCTAATGCTTCCCCAGGGAAATGTCTGAGCAATGAGCTATCCTTGAAATCCAAGTTTGTTGCTTTTCTTTTAAGCATTGTAATTTTTAGCATTCTTATTCAGGATGACGCTAAAGAACTAAAGATGTAGAGGTTTGTTAGCTGTATTATATTCAGCATAATTCATGCTGAGGCCACATGCTAAATGATAAATCAGGCTGCTCTGTAATGCAGTTAGCATCTTGCCACCTGAGAGCTGAGGAAAACCCAGGCTGAAACTCGACTCCTCTCACCTCTGTTTGCTCCACTGCTCTTAAAGGGGAACTCCTTTATTTAGACAAAGCCCCCTTGTGAAAATTGTTTCAGCAGATAGTTAATAACAGAAGATCTGAAATAAATTTCGCACACTTACAGGTCAAGAGAGTAAGTGCACAAAAATTGCTACATTTTCCACACCGAGGTCATTACTGAAAGTGTTGCACATTCAAACCTCCATTAGCTTTTAGTATTTTCGTTCTCGTCTCTCGGAACAACTGTATCCCCCATCCCTCTCTACTGATCCGTTTGAGTCTTTTGGTATGTTTTCTGATCTTCATTCTTCTCTGGCACCTGCTAAACCTCCGAGAACTTTCAGTGAGTTAAGTGAGTCCAGCATGGAAAACCTCTCAGCTCCCAAATCTGACAAGAAGCGAAAGGCTCCTCTACCCCCTGGTAATCTTGGGGGCTCGTCTAAGACTGAAAGCCATCCTGATAATGGGGGACAAGCGCATACCCAAAAAGATAGGCCTGTTCTTCCTCTCCCAGACTATGAAACCCTCTATCCTAAGAAGAGGCATGGGGTGATGGGTCAAACACGTTGGGACCATCTTGTTGCAGAGGTAAACCAAAGAAACTGGGATTTCTCTGAAGAAATTAATGTAGATGGACCTGAGAGGCCAATGCCAAATAAATCTGCGATCTTAAAGAACAGAACCTCTGTGAACCTTAATCAGCACCAAAGAAATCATGAGGCACCTCCCCCTGCCCCCGCAAGGCACAAAGAGGCACTCCTTCCACCCAAAGCTCCTGCGACACCAGAACCATCGGTCGAGACTAATGTCCAACATGGTCATATCAAAGAGTCTTTATATGCCACTGTCAATAAGCCTAGAAACTCTGCTTCCAAGAACTTGGAAAACAATCCACCTCCCGCTGTCCATAGTAGACATGTACCTCAGGAGATGGAAAGGAAGTCTCCGACTCCGGATGCCATTACCCATCAACTCTCCCTGTCAAAAGAGAAGCCTACAGCAGCTGCTAGATCCATACAAAGTATAAATTCAAAGACTGATGATGTGGCTAAAGAGATGCCTTCAGTCATACCCAGACAACAGTCATTAGTCAAGGACCCAGTCAGACAAGTTCAACCAGACAAGCAGGTAACCAATCAACCCATGACATCAGAAAACAACAAAACTGAGAAACCACACAAGGGCCAGAATGTAAGCATTTCCACAGATGGGTTTGTTGACGTAGACCTCCTCAAAGCTGCTGAAAGTCCAGAAGAACTGCATTTGGGGAAACCGGCTATTGAACCTGAGGGGAGGGGAATGATTGCTCTCGATCCATTCCCAAATGATAACCTGCTATCTAAAGATCCATGGGCTTTACCAGAGCAGACCACCAATGAAGATGACCTGTTCACTAGGGGCCCAAAGCAAATGGAAAATCTTGAAGATCAGACATCAAGCTTTGATAAGAAAGATAACACGCCTGCAAACAAAGGTACAAATGATCCATTCACAAACCTTTCAGAGAAAAGCAAATCACCGAAATCAGAGAGTGGAAAACAATCACCCAGCTTCACTGAACAAGCCAGAGCCTCATTTCAAAGAAATTTTTCGCTTAGAAAGAAAAATTCATCTCGCCAATACACAACTACTGGAAAAGCTGGTACAGAGAATATAAGTCTGACTAGATCAGTTTCTCAGTCTTCACAAGATGCCGAAGATGTTGTGCTGACTGTAACCAGTGTTGCTCCACCAAGCAGAACTGATCCCACCGTAGTAACATCTGAATCCCCTATAGGGGGCAAGATGGCTCTTCGCACTTGGGTCTCGCCATCAGAGGCTCAGCCAGTTGCTCTGCAGAGTGGTAGTGGAAGTGCAGTTTCTAATTCAAGAAGGTGAGAAAAGTTCTCCCGACCCCTACTAACAACTCCTCTAACAGTCTGTCGTCCCTGTTGTGCTAAACCCATCGGCTTTCAAATCAACAACTGCTGTTTACCCTGAAACTACCTGAATCAATCTCTGGTCTTACTAGAATAAAGGGTATGTTTTCTTCAGCATTTGTTCGATTGGTTGCTAAATGGTTGGTTACTCCTTCATGGGATCTTAAGGGTTGGGATTGTGGGCTTGGGGTTTTGCTACTGATTGCTGGTCTTGGTTGTTCAAAATGCCATGGTCTTGAAGGACTCGTGTAAATGGAACAAAGGCAATATCTCAAATAATACAGGGGTTTTGTTATTGTTGGCCATATTAGATTGTCTTCACAATTTTCTGAAACTGGGTCCATATGAGAGGCTGTAGATGTGATATTTAATGACATACACATTAAGGTTTAAATAAATTTGATGTATACAAGACTAGTTCCATGTTCAAGGCATGAGTGGTGGGAATGAGTTTGAGTTTGTCTGTAGATCATGTTGTTTTGTGGGATATTTGCATTATACATGATTTTTGATTGATTTGCCACAAATGTGCTTGTGTTTGGGTTTTACATGTTATTTCTCTGCTGTACTGTTATTGATCTTTTGGTTTTGTTGGGAATTGCACATTGGGTGAGTATGGAATGGTTTACTAACACATGCCAAGAACTGCTTACTGCATATTAGAGAGAATATAAAATATGCAACATTTTAAAAACAATTTAAAATACGCTTCATAATATGCTACATTTGTCACATGATGCATGCATTTTATCACTACATCACATGTTTACGTCAGCAAGAGGTGTCTAGTCATGACTAAAATAGAGGTAACATAAATACAACGGTAGATACAACGGTTTGACATTTTTCACTTTAAAATGCCTTCACGTTTTGGCAGTCATCCTCTCTCCTAGTCAAACACGTTGTATTGTGGAATGTAGTATCCTATGCATTTTGCTCTGGTTGTATACTGCACCTTTTTCCAAATGTAGATCCAGAAATTTGCATACACAGTACTGAATTCCTAGTATGAGTTGAATAATAAGGTATGCCTTTCCAAACATACCCATGTCTCCTTAATCGAATACTATCTTCAAGGGCCCTTGTTCACTTGATTTGAGCATTTTTCTAATGGTTTGTTTTATTGTTAAAAGTGTACAGTTCATCCTCCTCTTGGATTAAGGAACATGCTGTTGCCAGCAGTCAAGTTTTATGTTCATTGCAGTAATATGTCCGTCTCTCTCCTTTCTCAGGCCTCACCCAGTGAAACCCATGAGCACCGAGAGCCAGTCTTCCAGTGTTATCGCTGTGGGGAAAGACCCGAAGACTATCACCATCAAGGAAATGGCTGAGATGTCAAAGGTACAGTCAATTTTTACTTATTTCCTACTCAGTTTTTTGCACATTGAAGAATTGAAGTTGTTCGAAAAGTAAATCTATGAAGTAACACATTTTAAAATATGGGAATAAAACGTTTTGTACATAATCATTTGTAGGCACAATTTGTGACCCAGGACCACAAAACCAGTCTTAAGTCGCTTGGGTATATTTGTAGCAATAGCCAAAAATACATTGTATGGGTCAAAATGACCCGTGTCACATTTATGTCTACTCCAATCATGCATGCTTATTTCCCCCTATTTTTAAATTTAGATTAGATTTACCATCATCTAAGACTTTTTCCAAGACCTTTTCATTTTTTTAAATATGGTAATAATCTATTAATGCTGAAAAATGGATATTCATTCATATTACAATCAACATACTGTATACTATAATATTGTGATGCCTGCTTAGCATTTAAAAATGTATTTTAGTTTACTTTTAGTGTTTTATTTTCCACTTATGTAGACAAAATGGTACAGAATTGTAATATCGGCTCATCCATAGTTCATCCAAAGATCATGAAAAGCATCCCATCAAGTGTATCCAGGCTTTTCATTGGTACTGTACACGAGTTGACAACTTTTTTTTCTCTCTTCCTTCATTTCACTGCATATTATCCAGAATGTAGATAGTGGTCCGTACACTCAGCTCACACAGGAGGAACTGGTCACTCTGGTGGTAAAGCAACAGGCCGAACTCTCCAAAAAAGATGCCAGGATCCTGGAGTTAGAGGACTATATTGATAACCTGCTAGTTCGCGTCATGGAGGAGAAACCAGCCATCCTGCTTTCACTTCAATCCAAGTGTTAGGGTTTAATCCTAACATCTGAATAACCGTGCCCTGATTACTATACTGAGACGCTTCAATATTGTAGGATTTGACTGATACAGCCAGAAGGATTATGAAAGCAATATCACATCTCATAATCAGTTGATTTTCTTGAGTATATGTAACGCATGTAGAGTTGTTGGCATATGTGCATTCTGATTTCATCACCAATATCATACAAATAACTTTATTTTTTACAGCGTGGATATGTATAGTATATCAAAGCCTACAAGAATTCTGCAGTCTGTCAGATCACCCTTAACTGGATGCTGGGGTGTTGTTTTTTTGTTTTGTTGGATCATGGTACAATCTCCTCCTGAGAAGCTTCCCAACAACAAACACATCGTATTTATTGATCATCTTAGTTTTCTGTGCATCTTTCCATTTAAGAGAGGGCTTCTTAATGCATTATTATTGCAGTTTTAAGCTTGTATTTGAAGATTTTCTTTCATCCTGAAGTGATTTGTGTTTAGATCCTGACTGCTGCCTTGAGTCTTGATCAGAACGCTTCATTAGTGTTAATGCGGCCTTGTGTCTGTTGGGGCTCAAATCAAGGTAATAATCCTCTTACTTTTTAGAAATGTAGACAATAAGCACTTTTTACTTGAACGGGGTGTTTCATTTATGAAGGATAGTGTTTTTATATTAAGTAATTATCTAAAATACCCTGTAGAATTACCTCTAATGAAGAATTCTTTTTCTTGCCTGTTACGCACACTTCTGCATATGTAAAGCTCTGCTGGTGTTCGAACACTGGATATAGAATTCATTTTTATTTCCCTGGTCTATATTGACTACATATTTAAATGTTTCTTTTTGTCAGCTGTTGAATCAGCCAAAATAGTTTATGCTACATGTCAAACTGCATGTTTGTTTTACATTGTAGCGATTTTGACCAAGGATTATTAAGCATTCTTTGAAGCGCAATGTACATACTGTGACATTCTGCGGTTCTGTAACGAACAAGCAATAACTGTCTGCAGGATTTCGTTTCCTGAATGTCAGGTAATCGGTACTTTCATCAAACCGGGATCTTTTGCAACATATCATGTAGCCTGTTGAGGTCATTGTCTGCAGAGTGTTGTTGAGAGCTTGTCTGTTGTGAAACCAAAGATCTGTGATGTAAATCTGAAGTCTTACCCTACAGGACTCGAAACCTACTTCCCATTCCCTGTTCCATTGTTCTTCTTATGTTTTGAATCAATGAGTAAACATTTTTGTTTAACCACTTAAATGCCTATGGGGAGAGAATGGTCCATCTGACAAGGATGGAGGAATAAACTGTATGTCTTGTATATATTTGCTTGTCATTAATCTTGAGTTGATTCTGTTGTCAGTTTTCTGTGTTGCTGTTATATATTCAGTCATGAGAACCTTCATAAGAGCTTCTGCTGTGTTCATTCAAGTGTTGTCAATCACTCACAGCATTTTCACTGTTATCAGGTTCTGCAGACTCCAAACACTCCTTTATGTCTGAATTTGAATGTGAAACCTTCATTATTGCTGATACTATGCATATATGCACAAGATATATTTTCTAAACCTGTGCCTTCTCTTTTTATTCACAATTTTATGTCATTAAGACATGAATATATTGGTTTGTTCCTTTACTGCAATACTTGCAGAAATGTCATTTTGATTATACCTCAATTCATTGAATAAACTTAGATGAACCCATATAGCATGTGTTTTAATACTAGTAATACTTTTGATTATTATTTTTTTGTTTGTTAATATAATGTTTAAAGAGAAGTAGTTCATACACAAGGCTTCATGGCATTTCTATTGTAATGTGCATTAATAGGGATAGTTCTAAATTCTGTCCTCATGCTCCAAAACCCATTTGACTTTCTTTCCACTGTGAAACATAAAAGAAAGTATTTTAAAGAATGTTTCGACAGCCTTTGTCCATTTAATGATTCAACAAAATGAACCCCCCCCCCAAAAAAAAAAAATTGGACCATCATTTCTGGGCAAAGAAAGACATTTTCTCTTTATCCTTAGTAAAGTCTTTATCAAAATAGTTTGTGTTTTACAGAAAAAAGAAAGTGATTCAGGTTTGAAATGACTGCGGGTGAGTAAATGGCAGATTTTTATTAGTTTGTTTTATTGATTGATTGATTGTGGTGAACTGTCCCTGTAGGCAAAATATACTGATTATATTTGTTATTTGTATTTGCATTATTAATGATAATTAATGAAAATATGACTTTGTGCATTTGACAGCCATGACAACAAGTCTTTACCCTATAAAGCCTGAAATAACAATCAGATTTTGTTTATGATTAAATAAAACGGTTTTATTGAAATGTTAGGTTGAAAAAGTAAGCTGTTTATGATCAGTTCTATGATCTATGTTCTTGTTCTATGATCAGAGCTCTGTACAGCTTATGGCGGAGGACAAACATAGTATGCAATGCATGTACAATTAATGTACAGTTAGGTATTCCTCTGAAGCTTACTTCTAAAGCTGAAGATGCTCAGTTTTTAACATGACTTTATCCAAAAATATGTATGATTAATGAAGTAAAATTTCCTTCAGTCCAGTAAATGTTTATCTTAAAAAATTACTAATAGTATAAGAGTTATTCTTGCATTTTACTTGCATAAAAATCAGTAAAGATTGAACAGTAACTACAACCTGAAGGTGGTTATTTTTATAACTGAACTAAAGACTTTTTCTTGCTAAAAGCTAGTCAGATGACAGAAGACCAAAATTTTGATCATAATTTAAAGGCCTTAGAAATAGGCATATCAAATATGATACAGTAGGGTTAATAGCTATAAGAATGAATTCTCATAAACGGTAGTATGCATGCAGTATGATAATAGTTTGACTGTTGAGTACAGTTTTGTCCAGTAGATGGCAGAAGGATACAGCACACTATGTTCTCCATTACTAGTCAGGCAGCTCAAGAGGATGTCATGGCCTTCATCATTATATGTGCGCTGTGTTGAAATGATACTTGGCTGCTGTTTTAATTGACTTTTATATGCAAACAGTATGAGCTATCATGAGATGAGATATCTTTAGCTAATTATATTGCCTTATTTAATGTTTAAAGTTTATGCTGTCGACAATATCTACAGTTGGCTAATTAGTAGCTTGAAACGAGATAATTAGCAGAAATAAAAAACTGATATTGACTGATTCGTATCATCAGTAAATCCAAGTTCAGTCAAAGTGGAGTTTAATGCAAGCATACACACTGACTTAATGAGCAGAGAAGATGGATTTAACGATCCTAGTTCCGTGCTGACATTTCTGACATTATGTGTGGATATATTGATGTGTCTTTTACATGTGCAGTGCTGTTTTGTGTGTAATTAAAAATGGTGTAAAACCAAAATGATAGGGGAAAACCTTTTTTTTTTTAATTACAATTATTCTTGTAGAAGCTGTTGCATTCAACCGTTTACTTCAAAACATGGAATGTTCAGGAAGCTGAATATTTTACATTTGGCCTTATTTATATGATCCATTGCTGTGATTTGCTTTTAATATTCAATGCATTTCTTCCTGAAACAACTTCCTGTACTGTAGCTTTCAGTTTTCCAGCACAGTAGGAAGCAGCTATGAGGGTAATAACCCATGAGGATGAATACATGAGAGCGGCAAACGTGGAGCACTGCTGCTGACCACCTCTGTCTGATACAAAGAAAAAATACACTTAATAGAAAAACAGTCCACACACAAAAGAGCTGCTTTAATTCCATGTTATTTCAACTCACAATCAGGAATATTCTGACTTATCTGCTCTATCCTGTGTTGTCTATCATCATTCACACATTTTCAGTCAACAATTGCTTAACAATGCTTTCCTTTCAGTTGAATTCATTCAGAGATCTATTGATTTATTTTTTATCTTTATCTTGCTAAAGATGAAGGGGTCTTCCAACAGGAGGTCTGCACTGGTACTGCAGGGAGTCCACTAATTATTGTCACTTTTAAAGTGAATGTGAAGTTATTCTGTAATTCTGTTTGGATAATTCAGCAGTATCAAACAAAAAAAAGACTGCTGTTATGAATACAGTTATTGTGGTACAATTCAATAAACAGGAGGTTAATAATCAGTAACTTACATTTTAGACACATTACTACTATTTTGCTCCACTAAGGACAATAGTTCCAAATGAAGCAGAACCAAATTCTGCATCTTGCAGTAACAGTTTCATTCATGAATTAATTGTGTTTGCGCAAATTGGCTGAGTGAATAATTCAATGAATGACTCATAAAGACAGTCACGTGTTTTGTTGCTAAATGAAAGCAACACACTCTCTGCAATTCATAGCTATTTTCCATTTTGGCAAATTGGTGGGTAATTTGTATGAATTTGCATGATCTGCTAATGCCCCATCTCCTTACTGTTAGGTTTAACCTTCATGCTCATGTTTTTTCTTTTTCTAAAAATTCACATCAATCACAATCACATCATACAAAATCAGCATCTTGTAAATTAGTTACCTTTGCTCATGCGATTGGGGGGAATTAATTCGTTTTTGAATGAATTGGTTGAATTAATGATTCAGTGACTCACATTTCACCACCTATTGGCGATGTAACCTATAGAAAGAGATACTGAAAAAAAACAGCACTAATACACTATTATACACTGACAAGTGGTGTGATAGGAACAGTGAAATGTCTCAGGGCTGTTGCACTGTTATAGCAGCCTGTGAATGCTGCTCAACCAGTTGAATTTGAGGACTGAAAATAACTTTTGCATAATGAATATTTGAATGGATTTGCCACAAATTAAAATGATTTCTTTACAGTATGTCATTAACCAGTGTTATTTCAGTATCACTGAGATACTATTATAGTTTTTTATTAATATTTTGAATTAGTTTCTTTTTATTTTAATTTTACTTGAATTTTATTTTATTTTTTGAGCAGCTATATGTAGCTTTTTTATAAATCTTTTTTTATTTATAGTTTTTTTTTTTGGTTTTAGTTATAATTATTTTAGTACATCAAGTCAAACTAAATGAAAATGAGACGCACTGGCAACTAGCTGAAGTATAAGTTTGTTTTTTATATTATATTTTTATATTATATTTTATTTCATCTTCAAGTTTTGTTTTGTTTTGTTTGAGTTACAATAACACTGTTAAGAACTCATTTTTATTCAGTGTGTAACAGGGTCTCTGCTCCACCTCTTGGCCTAAAAGAAAGTTCGAAGACCCATAAAGACATCCGTTTGGTGTTGTCACTATTATTTCTCCGTTTAATAAACCTGGTAGCTTGGCAGACCCTTAACATTAGAAACAAAAGATAAGTTGATACGTCGAGTCATTTTCAGTCCAGATGTAATACTGCCATGGTAGCGTGCCTGCGGACTGAGCAGCATATTCTATTATGTTTGCACAATAGATCTGAGACCTTTGAGCTTAACCTGGGTCTGCAGCCTGCAGCCTGCAGCTTGAGAGATGAAGAGAGGAAAGTGTCTTAGTTACTCATTTGTAGGGTATTGTACAGTTTGTCTTTCACATTTTCTGTCATCCTCCTTGTGAATCACTGGTCTGTTATCGAAGCCGTGTTTGTGTAGTTGCTGTCTTTGATGTATTGGGATGGCAGACCATTGAAAACATGACTATCTATCATAGAAAGACATTTAGTGGAGAGGGGGAAGAAAGAGAAAAACTCTAAAGGATGTACTGAGTTGGTCACCATAGAAACGCTTCCTCCTTTTTTATAGGTTTGTCTTTTGTTGCTGTAGCTCATTTTCATTTTGGGCTGTTGTGTTGAGGATATTAACAGGCCCAGACCGTTTCAAAGGTTACTGACTACAGTCACTTTATCTATTCATCAGTTTATCTTCCTACTGTTCACATGCATTGGTGTTCCTTTGAATTAGCGAACGTACTGGTGGAATCTTTAGCACTTTGAATTAAAGTTAGCGGTAACATGATGCCGTTAGTTAACTAGATTTTAGTGGTATTTGTTTATGCAAATTTTTATTTTCATGTGTTGACTGACATACTAAAGCACATGTGAAGTAATTGATTATAATTTTATATATAGTGTATATAAAAGATGTACTTAAAGGGATAGTTCACCCAAAAATGAAGATTCTGTTATTAATTACTCACCCTCATGTCGTTCATCTTTGGAACACAAATTACGATATTTCTGATAATTTCCAAGAGCTCTCTGACCCATGGACAGCAAGGATCCTACAACGATCATGGTCCAGAAACGTAGTTTTTACAGAAACCGTAATTTTACGTAAACAACGTATGCTGCTCTGTGTCAGCAGCTCCACGCGCATTCGTTGTGTACGTTCAGATCAAAGCATGCGCATATGTCGTGATACTCTCCAAAATGATGCCAGGGTGATGTGGAGGAGATGGATTGTTGAATAAAGTCATTATTTGTAGTTTTCTTTGTGCACAAAAAGTATTCTCGTAGTTTCGTAAAATTACAGCTGAACCACTGATGTCTTTTATTTTAACGATGGCCTTGCTACGTTTCTGGACCTTGATAGTGTTAGGATCCTTGCTGTCTATGCAGGGTCAGAGAGCTCTCGGGATTCATTAAAAATATCTTAATTTGTGTTCCGAAGATGAACGAAGGTCTTACGGGTTTGGAACGACATGAGGGTGAGTAATTAATGACAGAATTTTCATTTTTGGGTGAACTATCCCTTTAAGTCCTATTTACGTGGGTCAAAAACACTCTTAAGCTCAGCTATTTGCATTTAATATACATTTTAATAAATTACATTTACATATAATTGTAAATAACATGCAATCATGTCCAAAACATGACATTCTGTGCTTCACTTAATTCATTTATAGCACTATTAGCACAAACAGTAATATTTGGAGGTTTGTGCAGATCATTAAACATGTTTGAGCAATAATCCTTGGTTTTGTCTTGGAAAACATAATGTTACAGAGATATTCACACTGTATTCATTTACCTGAACAACAAGAAGTTAATTGCAAATATTTTGTTTACCCAGTAATATGTCTGTGTATAAAACAACCGCCAGTCCTGACACTGTTTATTAATGCAACATTATGAAACGTTACATGAATTTATACAAAATTGTATGGTTATAATCACACGAATGAGACTTTCTCTCACCTGACACATTTTGGCACTTTCTTTTCTGAACTTTTAGTTTTGTTCCTTGTTTGCTTCAGGACAAAGAAGATACTGCAAAATAAAACATTTTGCTTGTGCAGACAAAGTTTTTTTTTTTTTTTTGTATATAAAGACTAAGTTTTGTATTCTTGCACACTTTGTTATGAGCACAAAAACATGACAAGTTATGAAAGCATTTAATTAGTAAAAGGTTTTAATATTTCATATAGGCCATGTGTTCTTTTTGAATATTTGATCTGTTTGATGTAAATATATCTTAAGTAACATCTTGTATAAACACATGCAGTTTAAACATTTTTAATCCAACAGTTTGAAAGGCATTAAAATAGGCTGTAATTCACTTTTAAAGCTGAAACATTTGCTTTTCTGAAAGCTGGGTATCTGTATGTTTCTGTTGCAGTATTTTAAGGGACCGTTTCTCTGTAATGTGAACAACATTCAGTCTCCTTCCTAGGAAATCCATATCCAAATCACAGACAGCATGGTGAAATCTTGTGGCTGAATCCAACAGTTTTCTCACATGGTTTATACATCCAAGAAAGACCATCTGTGTCCATCTAAAACAAGATGCATGTGGAGGAACCTTACAGATGGTATAGTTCCAGCCAGGACCAATGTGAACACTTTCTCTTTTCCAAAAGTATGCAACCCAAGTGTTCTGCTAGCCTCAGTAGTCTTTGAACTAACTTGATGTGCTCTTTTTCTGTCAGAGAACCACGCTAGCGGTGGCGCAGTTGTGTGCAGGAATCCCGATGCCAATCCGATGATGGCAGGTGAACATCTTGCGCAATTCCGCCCTGAAACGATCGTGCAGCCATGCATATAAAAACGGGTTACAACAAGAGGAACTCATTCCACACAAATGACACAATAGCTGGATCAGCAGGAAGTAGCGCTTGTCGATCAGGTCTATATCAATATCCCGAAGAACATTGAAGACACTTATCGGCAGCCAGCAGATCCCAAAAGCAGCGACGACTAAAGAAACCAGACGAAACGTCTTGCGTTTCCGAGCCCGCTGGGCTTCCGCTTGGCTCTGGGTGCGATGACCTGGCACCACACAATTGCGAAGCTTCACTGAAATGCACAAGTAGGAGATGCAAAGTGCGGACAGAGGAAGGACATAGGTGATGAAGAGCGTGCTGTAAGCGTAGGCTAGCCGCTCTTTCTCCTGACCCATCCAGAACTCCTCGCAGATGGTGAAACCTTCGTCCTTGAACTCCACATGGTACGTGTGGGCCACAGCAGGAGCCACCAGACCACACGACAAAATCCAGATCCCAGACAGAAGATATGTGCAGGCCAGAACTGAGATGCGCTTCTTCAGGGGATGAACCGTAGCATAGTATCTAGAAGTTAAAATGACAGTTTTAGGCAACAAGTTAGTGATCACACATCTGTATCTGATGCAATAGTACAACTGGCCCCGGAGAGATGTTTTTGTTCTATTAATTTATTCAAAAATACATTCAAATATAATCAATGACTTCTCTTCTATTATGAGCACATTTTAAATGTATGAATTAAAGGGAAACTTCACTTAGAAATGAAAAAAATCTCTCAACATTAACTCACCCTTCTGCTGTTCATTGTTTCCGGCCCACTGTTTATAGTTTTAAAATATTAGTAGTGTTATTAGTTATTATTAGTAGTGGTTCAATCCAGTTGCATATTATATGGACTCATGGATTACATTTCTAAAAATCAGTTTCTGTTCTTTCTGAAGAGAGAGTATACATTTGGGACAGCAGGAAGGTGTCAGAAACGAGACCGGGGTCCAATAGCAGGTGAAAACAAATTCCAAGTTTATTGAAACTGTGAATCAAAAAGTCAATAATCTGCCGGATAGCAAAAAGTCAGTCCAGATCAGCGCAGAGGTTAGACCAGCCGCTATGCCAAGATCAATAAGCTTTTTAAAATATCAGATAATTTGACCTCAATTCTGAAGAATCGAGCCCTGAAAAGAGCCATTCAGTTCGCCAGCGGCGCTAAAATGCTATTTGATCTCTCCAAAATGCTAATGAGTAACGAAGAGATCTGTTTACGCAGCGCAGCTGAATGTCAAAAAGTGAAAGGTCTTCTTGATCTTTTAAAAGTTAAACTTGACACAGTCTTTTAAAAACATGTAGATCTCGAGACGCTGTCTAGCCTAGCGCATGTTTACATAAAACTGTAATGAGGACCTTGGAAACCAAAAACGCATTCTGTGTGAACAAGCCCATACCGTGGTAAGTCAGTTTAGTTTGGAGGATTTGATTGGTGAAGGTTTATGTACTGTCTTGCTTAAAATGATTCTTTCTGACTGATTTATTATTATAATTGACTATCATTTGAAATTGTTCATCTTTTTTTGTACAAAATGTACAGTTTCATTTTATACTATTTCAAGTAACATGCTTCAAGCTAGAATTTTAAAAGAAACTCTTGTACTCATTGACCCTGGGAACGCCAGCTGACTAGTGGCCCCAATTTGAGTTTGAGAGCTATGTGTTAAGATATAAAGACAACGATATAAGCTGAAGCAAATACAAAATGTTGCATGTTGATTTTGTAGAGGCATAATCAGTGGGCTGTAAGAAATGGGATCAAAACAACAAGACCTCTAAATTAACTCTTTTCATTCGCTTTAAGGTGAATATCAGATAATTTGACCTTTTATTGCATGTTAAATGTAGTCAATTAGTACAGGTAAAATGTCACGCAGTGCGAGTCAATTGAGACTCGATTTCATAAGGAATCGATTCTTCAATTCTGAAGAATCGAGCCCTGAAAAGAGCCATTCAGTTCGCCAGCGGCGCTAAAATGCTATTTGATCTCTCCAAAATGCTAATGAGTAACGAAGAGATCTGTTTACGCAGCGCAGCTGAATGTCAAAAAGTGAAAGGTCTTCTTGATCTTTTAAAAGTTAAACTTGACACAGTCTTTTAAAAACATGTAGATCTCGAGACGCTGTCTAGCCTAGCGCATGTTTACATAAAACTGTAATGAGGACCTTGGAAACCAAAAACGCATTCTGTGTGAACAAGCCCATACCGTGGTAAGTCAGTTTAGTTTGGAGGATTTGATTGGTGAAGGTTTATGTACTGTCTTGCTTAAAATGATTCTTTCTGACTGATTTATTATTATAATTGACTATCATTTGAAATTGTTCATCTTTTTTTGTACAAAATGTACAGTTTCATTTTATACTATTTCAAGTAACATGCTTCAAGCTAGAATTTTAAAAGAAACTCTTGTACTCATTGACCCTGGGAACGCCAGCTGACTAGTGGCCCCAATTTGAGTTTGAGAGCTATGTGTTAAGATATAAAGACAACGATATAAGCTGAAGCAAATACAAAATGTTGCATGTTGATTTTGTAGAGGCATAATCAGTGGGCTGTAAGAAATGGGATCAAAACAACAAGACCTCTAAATTAACTCTTTTCATTCGCTTTAAGGTGAGCAAGACCTGTTGGATGTTTTGCTGCAAAAGCTCACTCGACAATGGATGCACATTTCCTTGCCTCCGATCCAGCCTAGATGAATGGGTCTGCATCCAAACCCCTACGATAATATCAAGGGCTTTTAAAGACAGTATTCATGTAGGCTTCATCACGTGTAAAAGCACAGAAGATGAACCACCAGACCATGTACAGGAGATGACGGCCTAGTCTGAGCAAAAAAAGCCTTCACTGTAAGGTAAATGGATTCTTAATGCACCTATTATACTACAAGCCACCAATTTTCATTTTCTTTGACTATAGCTCAGCACCATCATCCATCACTGACTCACGTCACATGCCTACGCAAGGAGGGAAGTGTGAAGGTTAAAGGCTCTATGAAACCACAAAGTTAAGATAGAAGTTAAGATCCACTATGAATTTCTTTTCAGATTTGTGGATAAGAAGTCCTGGTTTATTTTTGGTGTCCTTGGTATTTCACATATGGCAGCATGTTGACGTTACGTTAGCCTTCCAGCTTTCTGTAGAATGTGTCGCTATACAATTGTTACATAATAGTATGGCTTTTTTGTGTACCATAAGAACTTACAGGCTCTTCTGGCCCCCAGAAAAAGAGCCGTTTATATTACTCAGTCATTCAAACTGAGATGAAATACACCAAAAAGGTTGCATGGGGGGGTTGAAACAATCTGTATCTTTAGAAAATAGAAGTCTAACCAAGTTTAAACATGGACATATATCACAGAACACTTCTGTAATTTGTCTTTAGTTTTCTGACAGTCATTAAAATTCCCATCAGCATCTTTTCTAGGACAAATTATGTATTGTGCACACTGTGATGTCATAATAATAAAAAAAAAAATTCAAATGCTTGATTATTATTTCACTCTATCTTTTTTAAAGGTGACATATCATGAAAATCTAAATTTTTCCATGTTTAAGTGCTATAATCGGTTCCCCGGTGTATCTACCAACCCAGTAAACGTGAAAAAGAATGACCCAGTACATTTTTTTTTATTTTTTTTAAGCCTTTCTCTGCAAGCTTGTGAAAAAAGCGAGCCGCTCAGATTTCACTCCCCCCGTGATGTAGAAAGGGGATCTTATTATAATATTACCGCCCTTTAATCTGCAAGTTTCCACCCATGGCGCCACCATGTTTTTGCCAGCAATGGCGAAAGTTTAAGCAAAGAATGCTAACTGTTCTGTCGTTGGCTGCACAGATGAGCACAGAACACTATTTAGAGTCCCAGCTTCAGAGGAGACAAGAGAGCAGTGGATTTACTGATTTATTTACTGTATATTACGCTGATGCCACACAGATCTAATATAAACATGCAATTTATTTCCCAGCGGTTTACCTTCACAGACATAACCGACTGTTTTTATAACTCGGGTGTGTTTTTAACATAAACTGTATGACAGTTTAAGTGCAATAAGAGATGAAAGAGAACTTGGTTTAGTACTGTGTGACAGCTGCTTTCTGTGCGTGTTCTTTGGATGTGTGCGCTCAGAAAACCGTATATCAAAAGTGTAAACTGATATGGCTTTAAAACGCATGATTTCAGTGCGATAAACATTATAATCAGAACCAAACAGATGTTTTTTTTTTTTAGCAGAGTATCTGAGGAAGGAGCTGTAAAGGACAGCCCTATTCTGGAAAAGGGGGCGGGGAGCAGCAGCTCATTTGCATTTAAAGAGACATGCACGAAAACAGCGTGTTTCTGCCTCCACTCAAAATATGCATTTTCAAAATGATATAATAAATGATCTGTGGGGTATTTTGAGCTGAAACCTGACAGACACATTCTGGGGACACCTGAGACTTATATTACATATTGTAAAAAGGGGCATAGGTCTCCTTTAAATATTTAAACTTATATAAACATTTAATTTATTTGTATGTTGGAATGTCACACAGTAGTGTATGACTGTCAAGGTCTAGGTCTGCGACAAGGACAAGCTATAAAGCCATTTCAAAAATAGCAAAAATAAATAATGAAGGCATGGTGAAAAGGTTTCCAAGACATTTTATTATGACCTTGCTATAGCAAAAAGAAAAAGTTTGAAATCTGTTCAAACAGAAATCTGTTAAAAAAATGTTCAAGCTAAAATCTATATAAAAGTGGCAAGTTTGAATAAAAGTCTAATTGCTAGTAGATCAGAACAAACATTTAAAGAAATAATGATAATTTTCAGATTCCAGTCATCATATTATCACCTGTTCTCTATTCGAACTGAACGACATGAGGCAGTAAATTCTATATCCCACATAGATTTGTGTTGCGCTATACTGTACATATAAGGATATGTTTTCAACAACCTGTTACACAGACAAATTTAAACACTGCATATACTCTACCATTCAAAATTTGGGGTTAGTAAGATTGAAAGAAATTAATACTTTTATTCAGAAAGGATGCATTTACTTTTTTAAATTAAAAAAAGTGACCTTACAAATGTTACAAAAGATTTTTATTTCAAATAAATGCTTTTAAAATATATTCAAATAAAAAAAGTAATTTTTAAATTGTAATAATATTTCATATCACATTTTTGTAATTGAATAAAATGAGTATAAGATACCTTTTGAGACTACGTGATGAATCCACTGAATCAATCTGTTACGTAACCATGCTTCTAAAAGCCCCAGAATGCTAATAAAACATTGATGTAATGATGAATTAGTCACACTGTCAAGAGACACAACGCTCACATGCATCACTCACCTGTCCACCCCAATAGCTGTCAGTGTGAAAACCGACACGTACACCGTCACCGGCTGAATGAGGAACACCAGGTAGCACATGAATCTTCCAAAAACCCACCCGTGAGGGTTAAAAGCGTATGCCAGGGTAAAGGGCACGCAGGTAGCACACATCAGCATGTCAGAAAACGCCAGGTTACCGATGAAGAAGTTGGTCACGTTGTGCATTTTTTTGGTGTGGCAGATGACGTAAAGCAGCAGGTAGTTCCCGAAAACTCCAACCAGGACCACGAGAGCATAGCAAGGGATTATGAGGGGTTTAAAAGACTGAAGGAGCTCCACACCAACAAACTGCGGATTGCGCTTAGTCGTGTTCGTCGACTGCAGCACGACTTCATAGATTTGGCCCCTGCTGGAATTCTCCATGGTGAGGTTTTCCAGGCAACACGAGGGCACGGGAGTGCTGAGCCATTCACCACTACTGCCATCCATCCTTACGGCTGGAATACTGCTTGTAGAGACCTAAACAGTGGGTGTTTTGGCATAATAACAAGGAAAGAGATACGCTTTGGTTAGCTTTCTTCATAACTCAACTCTAGCTGAATTTTAAACCATTAACAGATGGATTGAAATGTCTGTGAAGAAGAAGCGAGCCAGCTGAGTGCGACTTGTGGAGGCGTGTGCTACCAAACATCCATTTTGCGATATATAGGTGCTAGGTTGTCTTGAAAGTTGAGTTGGCTCATATAATGAAGTGACTTTTTCAAACTCTGAGCACAGCTACAATTTTCCTCAAAGTTCCTGCTCTCTATACCGAACCACTTTCCGCACAGCAGTTCTTCTGAACATTAGAGATGCAGGGGTCACATCTAAAAGCTCTTCATTACAGCCTTGACATGTGTAGGATCTCTGTCTTCAAACGGACCCACTTACACTATTGAGTCACACATGAAACAATCACATTCCATTGAGACAAACTGAGGAACCCCTATGCAGCCAGCTGCGGTCGTAAAACTCATGCAGGGTCAGTGAAGGGTTGAAGCAGTTCCTGTACTATCTAGCGTATCTCTCAAGAGACTCAAATAAAATTAATGATTAATTCCCTTACAAATGAGTTAATTTCATTACACTTACTTCGGATGGCTGGTTTCCGTAGCAGGTTATTCATAAAAAGAATCAGCGGGACTTGAGATCTGCGTGTTCCTTTCAGTGTATGCTCTGTCAATCCAAACAGCAGTAAACAGAAACTTGTAAGGACACTAATGAAAGCCAGCATGATTGAAGTCAAAGATGTGTCTCTGCTGCAATCACATATGGCCGTTGCTGTTGAAATGCAAATGAGCCTCATTCACTCGCGCCCTCTAAGTGAGTAAATGGTTCATAGATTAAGCATAAATGCTCTTTGGTCTTTACTGTAACAAGCTACTGCAAAGCAGTGATTGTGTTTTCTGTTTTTGTCTCTTTACCAATCAGTCAGTTGTTGCAAAAGCAGTAGATACTGCTTAATTCATTTTGTCTTAAATGCATATCTCATCATCGTCATTTTCAATCAGGGTTTTTTTCTTTTAGTGGAACATATTTTCACATTTGACACATTTAAAAATACCTATTTGTCAGGGATCAATTGTGGTCCTTGATTTATACATGCATCAGACAAATGAAGCACCAATTGCTCTTCACAGATTACATGGTTTTTAAATAGTTTTTATGGACAAGACGGTACTAAAAATGGCCATACATTGTTTTTTTGTAGTAATTTTAAACAGCAGGATGAGCTGAATGCCAGAGACTTATTTAACTTATTTAATTAGCTCAAATCTTCATTAAGCACATTCAAAGACAAGATTGAATAAGCATCCCCAGGGTGTCGACTGGGTTAGATGAAGAATAAATTAACAAGCCCTCACTGGATGAGATATGGAATATTTACAATGCATTTTCAATATTTGAAATTAAGTGACATTAAGCGATTATCACAGTAACCTGAAGTGACCGTGTAAGTTGTCTAAAGGCCGTGTTAGTGTGCTAGTTTTACACTTCCTACTTACCTTGCGACTTGTTTGGCAGTGTTGAAAAAAGTTACCATGGAGGTTTTCTTGTTTAAACCACTTTAGCAAAACTGGGGATTGCTTTGAAAAGCTTATTTTCAGTAATTAAATTAATGTCTTTCAAAGCACAGATCCACCATTTTGCATCATTACTTATAACTGTTCACTGAGGTCTCTGCATGGCATTTATGTTTTAACATCTTTTTGTAAAAATAAATAAATACAACCTTTGATTATTGCCTTGATTATTTTTATGACAAGAGTAAAAATTATTTAATGTAGTTGTGAGAAACAAAGTTAACACATAATGTAATTATGAAAAACAAAGTTAACACAAATCTTTTTCACAAAATGTTACTATATCACCCAGCTCTTTATTGTAACTTGTTGCTGTATAATAAAGTGCATGACTTGGAATAAAGTCCAAGAAGTCCTTTCTAATAAATCCACAAGGAGAAACCACCAACAAAGATTCAATACCGGTCCTTGAGCTAAGGGAATCTAAGGGCTTAAATACACTGGGAATGTAATAGAGGAGAAACAGAACAGGTGTGGGAACTAATTAATCAAAAACTATGGAAAATAACAAGGGAACTGAGGCAGAGACGGAGACCTGGAAGACCGTGGTGGAGCTGAAGCATCTGAGGACAAAGGCAGAGCCGGAGGGAAGGAGGAGCCAGACAAAGCCCGAGGGATAGAGGGACAAGGCAAAGCCGGAGGCGTGGAATTCCAGCCCGGTGGAGCTGATGGGTCGGAGGGCGTAGGTGGAGTCCGGGGTTCGGAGGCTGGAGGCAGAGGATCCTCATGCCTAGACGGAGCAGGTGACCGTAAGGCCTGAGGCAGATCCACACCCCAGGGTGGAGCAGACTGAGGATGAGCCAAGAGACTAATGGTGTGTTCAACTTGAAGCAGCACTGTGCAGACCGATCGGCCAGAGTAGCCGCTTGCAGTTGGGGGCGGAATTGAAAATGGAGATGTCAAGTCGGACACTTTCTGCTCCCGGTAGTGACGCTCTCATGATGTTTGCATACACTATCACAGA